GTAAGAGCTTCGGGGGTCTCCCACTTTATTCCAGCGCGTGCGGCTTCTTTGGGGGTGTTTATTTCTCAGGACTTTGTTTCTTTGTTTCTCAGTGTGTGCGGATCAGCCTCGGGAGGATGTGAGTGTGAGTGTGTGTGTGTGTGTGTGTGTGTGTGTGTGTGTGTGTGAGTGTGTGTTTGCATCGTGTCTAACTTTCACACTGAAGGTCCGTCACTAAAACTGATTCTCTCTTTCTTCTTTCTCTCTCTCTCTTTCTTTCTCGTGTACGTGGGCACCGTGACGTCACCACTCCTCTCTCTTTTTCTCTCTTTATGCTCCTGTCAGCCAACTTAACTCTCCAACTTCACCGCTCTGTCGAGGCTGGAGTTGGCTGCTTGTTCCTATTTGTCCGTTCCACCTTAAACGGTGCAGCAGTTACATTCTGGCGCCTGGACCATTTAAGGTGGAACGGGAAATTCCAATAAGAGCTGGCGAAAAGACGCCTGTTACAGCTTTGTTGGCTTTTGGCTACTGTCTATTGTTCGTGGGGTGGGGGGCGGAGGGCGGGGGGGGCAAAGGGGGGAGTACTATTTAAAAAATAACAGTCTAATATCATAACACTAATCATTTATGCTGCTAATAATAAATCAATACTTCATTATTTGGTTATTACTCTCAGAAGTGCTTTGGTTGGTATGCAGTGTAATGTGAAGTACACTTAGAACAGTATACACCGGGCTATAGACTATTAGTGCACTATTATTAGACTGTAATTAGACCATTATTAGACCTTTATTAGCGTTTTGGTAGCAAATCAAAGCAAGGCCATCCTTTAGGTTTAATATGGTCTGATGTGAACTACACTAACAATACCAGTTGGGCTTTTATTTGACTGTTATTATACTACACACTGCATAACTGAACTTTATTACAGTGTTATTACACTACACACAACATAGACTACATTAGACTGTCATTACAATACACTGCATTACTGAACTTTATTACAGTGTTATTAAACTACACACAACATAGACTACATTACACTGTCATTATACTACACTGCATTACTGAACTTTATTACAGTGTTATTACACTACACACAACATATACTGTATTACACTGTTATTATACTACAATGCATTACTGAACTTTATTGCAGTGTTATTACACTACGCACAACATATACTGTATTACACTGTTATTATACTACACTGCATTACTGAACTTTATTGCAGCGTTATTATACAACACACAACATAGACTATATTGCACTGTTATTATGCTATAACCATCATAATTAGACCAGATTACATTGTTACTATACTATTATGTTATTAGATGTTATTCATCACACTGTACTGCATACACTATTATCAGACTATTACACTGTTATTATACTACACAAAATATTTAGACCATATTACACACTTAGTACACTGCATACAGAATTATAAGACTATTACACTGTTAATATACTACATACAGCATTATAAGGCTATTACACTATTAGTATACTACACAGCATTATTAGACTGTGCTACACTATTCATGTCTAATAACAGCATTATTTTACTGTTGCTATACTACAAAGAATTATTAGACCCTCTTTCAATGTTATTATACTACTTAGTGTTAATAGATGAAATTACAGTACTGTAATACCACAGAGTGTTATTACACTGTTTTACATCATTATGTTAATACACACTGTTATTAGACTCTGATACACTATTATACAGCACACAGCATTATTATACTATATTACACTATTATTACACTACAGACTATATTAAGCTATTATTATACTACAGACTGTATATGCAAGACCTTTATTAGTGTATATTAGAGTATTATTACACTACAGACCACTATGTTGGCCTATATTAGACTATTATTAAACTGATGACCACTATGTTGGACTGTTATTAAAGTATATTAAGCTATATTAGAGTGGTATTACTCAACAGATCACTGTTGGAATTTTATTAAACCAAATATACTATTATTATATTAGGCTGTATATATCAGACTGTATTAGACCATATTAGACTGTTATTATACTACAGACTATATTTTAGGCTATTATTAGACCTTGTTGGACTAGTACTATACTACAAACTGTATATATTAGACTATTATTAGACTGTATTAGTCTGTTATTATAGTACAGACACTGTGTAGGACTATTATTAGACTGTTATTATACTACAGGCACTGTATATGACTATTATTAGACCATATTAGACTGTTATTGTACTACAGACACTGCATGACTATTATTAGACTGTATTACACTGTTATTATACTACAGACACTGTCCATGACTATTATTAGACCGTATTAGACTGTTATTATATTATAAACACTGTATATGACTATTATTAGACCATATTAGACTGTTATTGTACTACACACACTGCATGACTATTATTAGACTGTCATTAGTCTGTTATTATACTACAAAAACTGTGTGTGACTATTATTAGACTGTTATTAGTCTGTTATCATACTATAGATGCTGTGTATGACTATTATTAGACTGTTATTAGTCTGTTATTATACTACAGACAGTGTCTATGACTATTATTAGACTGTATGTATGTGTATGTTACGGAAGGGACCCTCAGTAGGGGTCCATCCTTTGGCCTGTACTGTAATGTCACTGCTGTTTTATTATGGTGACAGTTGCCAGCAGATTCTTTCCTGGCGGAGGTGAACGGGGTGACCGTCCTGCCCGTGTCCCTCCTGACCGCATACCTCCTGCATTGTGAATGGAGCCTGTGGTTAGACCTTATACACACACACTCCTCCGCTGTATTAACTATTTATTAACTACTTAATAAAGTATTTATTTCGGCTCAGGACAAATGGGTTCTGCTGCTCTCCGAGCGCCGCTGAGGGGGCGACGGTCCCTGAGCACCTCTGTAAAACACGTGTAGCTACTGAATTAATACATACGTCTGTGTTTGTAGATGTATGCAGTATCAGAAACGTAGCATACATTAGCAAGTCTGTCTGAGATTATTTAAAGGCGAATTCGACTGATTCTTCAGTATGTCTGCATAACTGTGTGTGAGGTGTAAACAGAGTGATTCAGAGTGGTTTGGTGTGAAATGGTTCAGATGTCTTTACAGTGGTGGTGATAGGAACCAGGGGTCGCCATGACTACAACACAAACATAGACATTTTATTTACTATCCAGAACCACCAGTGAACCTACACGAGTCTTCTGAGTTTATAAGGAATGTTGATAATGGAAAATAGTGGAAAATCTGAAATAATACGTTTTCTTTGGGGACTATTTTGCCTCACAGCGCCCTGCATATTATGTATCCCTCCACCATGAATGGAGTTTAAGGCCGAAATCTTCTCTAAACTATCATAAAACAGTGTCTCAGTCATCAGGCAGTGAATTCATAACCATTTCATGTAGTAACTTTCTGTGAGGGAGCTTTTAGAGGTGGACGTCTGGTTCCTATCACCACCACTGTGAACAGTTCTGACTTGGTTAGACATTCTGAATCATTAGTGGAAATTCCCTTAAAGTCTGGTCACTGTAAGTTGATTCAACATGGGAGATTTTACTGGAGAGGAAACTTTGGCTTCACATGACATGATGTAAAAGGCTTCTCTGACGGAAATAAGATTATTTTATCTGTTGTTATGGTGTTCTTCATGGTCAGTACAGTCTGTGAGTTCTGTAGCTTTAAGCCTGACTGTATTTAAACACTGTCCCAAAACCCAAACACCTAATGGTACAGGACTCTGAAATAAAGGCCTTACAGTGTATCTGTTACTAGACTATAGACTATTATTAGACGATATATAAGCCCATCATTAGACTATAGACCCATAAGCTGACTTTGCTGGACTGTTATTAGGTTATATACTGTATATTCTGTTGCTGCCATAAGAAAAATGTGTAAATGCTTTTTTTTATTTCTGTCCTTTATTTATTCACACCTTTAATAAAACAGCTGCCCTTTATACTGTGTTAGCATTTCATGACAAATGGACAAACAGATTTTGAATAGCTCACCTTTCCAGTATTGCACTATATGTTCCACTAAAGTTACAATAATAAATATACTAGCCACTTTATTAGAAACACCCACCCTGTACTTTTACTATCTGGCCACTTTATTAAAAACAACCACCCTGTACTTTTACTATCTGGCCACTTTATTAGAAACACCCACCCTGTACTTTTACTAACTGGCCACTTTCTTAGAAACACCTACGTTGTACTTCCACTCACTGGCCACTTTATTGGAAACACCTTTCTTATACTTACACTAACAGGCCACTTTATTAGAAACACCTATCTTATACTTACACTAACTGGCCACTTTATTAGAAACACCTATCTTGGTACATCCACTAACTGGCCACTTTATTAGAAACACTTACCTGATACTTCCACTAACTGGCCACTTCATTAGAAACACCTACTTTATAGTTCCTCTGTGTAGGTGTTCAGTTACAGACTGGAGTCCATCTGTTGCTGTGCAGTTCATCAGCCCCCCTCTACTCCACTCTTCACTGGTCAGTTTCTGACCATAGGACCACGTATTGTTTGGGTGGTTGTCCATTCTCAGTATGTTTGGTGTAAGAGTTGCTCTGTGGTCAGAAACTGGCCATTGGTGAAGGATTAGAGGATGGCTAACACAAACTGCAACAGATGGGCTATAGAATCTAAGTGAACACCAGCATGGTGGAGGGGTTTCTAATAAAGTGGCCAGTTAGTGGAAGTACAGGGTGGGGTGTTTCTAATAAAGTGGGCATTTAGAAGAAGCACAAGGTGTTCATATATATATATGGGCTTACAAAGTGTGGTGAATGCTCACCGGGCAGTGAATGTCTCTGATATTGTTCTGATCTGAATGAAAAGCTGCCCATTGTTTTGTTTCCTGAGGACAAACAATCAGTTCTCTCTAAAGATGGACTCTGTCTGGCTTGTGTTGTTCTGCGTTCACACTAAACACCACAGGACTGGTAAAGAAAATGAGCTGGCCTGC